CTCGTCCCCACAGAGATGTGTCCTTGCTGGGAGCAGCGCCACAGACACCCCGCAGTGCTTGTGAGACTGAGGCAAGGAGCTGGTGAGTGAGCTGAAGGCTTTTTACTAAAATACGTGTGTGTGTCCCACAAAAAAAGAAATCTAGGCAGTTTTGCCTGATTTTTAAAGCTGGCTGCCAGCAAAGAGTTTCTTGTAGCATCCCTTCGGTACGAAACACAGCAGCACACCCCACCACAGCCGTCTTCTGGAGGCTGCCACCAGAGATTTCTCCCTCCTCTCTCCACCCCTCGTACCTCGAGGCACCCCGAAACCTTTAGCAGGAAAGCACTGCTCGAGGAGAGAAATAAATGCATAGACATCTCCTGGTATTTATTCCACCGGTTGTAACAGTACCATGGCACGGGGACAGCATAGGAGATGGAGAGACACTCAGCTGAGCACAGCGCACAACCACAGCACGACAGAGGAGGAGGAGGAGGAGGAGGAGAGGGATTTGTTTTTTGTCCCTTATGGCTTGGTTCTTCACCTGGAAGGAACAAGGACACGAGTGGATCCCACCCCGGGAGAAGGAGGATGTGCCACCACCACGCCAGGGGAAGGCTGAGGGGGTTCAGATCAGCACCCAGGAGGGATGTAATTCCTCTCTGGCATTAATTCAGGCTTTAGCCTGCTGCTCCTCAACACCCCCCTTCCTGCTGGTGGGATCATATAGCAGGTCCTTCCCCGCCGACTTCTTTGAGAGAGGCCCTCAAGGGCAAAGCGGTTGGTTTTTCTTGCGCGGACAGGATGTTATTTCTCGTGTGAAGGGTACGGGGTGCGGGGAGGGGGGGGACGTTTCACATTGCGCCTCGTCCTTGCGAAGCGAATGGGAGCTTCCCTGTCATTTCTAGGAGGCTCAGTAGGAACACGTCTGCAGAGACACGGTGTGTGGAAAGCCTTTGCTGACCGGGTTCAAGAACACTCCAAGGTCGCTCGGGGCTTCCCTTCCCTGCAACCCCCCCATTTCCCCAGCTCTCACTAAAGACACCCACTGCCACAGGCACAGGAGGAGGCATTGAGGTACGGGGAGGCTCTAACCTCAGACTGGAGAACAAAACGAAAACCACACATCAGGGACATCTGGGTCGGGGACTCGAGGCTTCATACGTCTCGGTAAGGAGGACCCGACTCACACAAGGCAAGGGTGACAATATCAGTGGGGTCCCCGCTGCAGGCAACAGCCACCGACAGACCCTTCGCTGCAACCCTTCTCCCCCACCATCGTGCCGATGGGGAGGGGGCGCTCAGCCAGGTCACATCACGGCGCATTTCTCCGCCGATTGCTTCAGGTCCTCTAGCGTGGCCGAAGCTTTGTCTTTCAAGGAATCAAGGTCCAGGTTCTGGATGTTGCTGAGCTGGCCGATAACCGAGTTCTTCTCTTCCTCCTCTTCGTTGTCCTGCTCGATCATCTTGGCCAGCTCTTTGGGCAGCTCCACATCACCTCCCACCAGCTGGATCTGGTTGTCGTCTGTCTCATTCTGAAGCAGGATGGGAAGAAGATTAGGAGGGGGTGATGCTGAAAGTGGAAAGGAGGGGAACTTCTGGAGGCATGAAAATGAGGTTCCCAATGTGGGCTTTGAGCTGTCTTCCCATGTTAAGGTCCGTGGGGTTTGGTCCCTGAGGCTCGGAGCCGTGCTTGATGCTGACCCCGATGGGCACAGTGAGAGCCGAGATGAAAACCTGAGCGTGCCAGCATCAGTATAAATTGGCTTTCAGCTCACATCGGGAGGGGTTGGGGAGGTTTAGGCACCCAATTAAGCTACACGTATGCTTAATGCCTGCGCCCACCAGAGATCGGGGTCAGCTCTGCGCTGGAGAGCCACAGGGAGACTTTGCAAGAGGCAGCCCGGCTGCCAAGCGGGATCAGTAATGAACAGAAGAAACTTGTCGAGAGATTAGAAGGGACATTTCAAGCACGAGAAAGCAGCAAAAGGAGCGGGGGGCCAGATCTCAGCAAATCCCTGTTTCCCCTGGAGAGGAAAAAAAAAAAAATCTCCACCTCTTCTTTTTCTGCCTTTTGGCAGGGGAAAAATATAGTCTCCAGCTGTTGATTTCCTGGCAATAAAAGGGGTGGGGGGAGCAGTGGGGTGCGCTTCCAGGCCAGCTGAACAACATCAAACAATCTGAACAATATCACTTGGCTTAGCTGACCTTTCTGAACTAATATTAGCTCAGCTCCAATTTAGACTATTCACCGCTGAAAGGCTCTTGCTGAATAAAGGGTGGGTTTGGGGGGAGAAGAGCTTGCGGCAATTCCAAGAATGGCTGAATTATCCCTTGATTAAACTGTTTCTAGTGAATCGTTCATTGGGGTGAAAATTCCAAAATAGGAGTTTAGGTAGGAATCATTTGCCAAGTAATCTGGGAAGAGGAGCTGGCTAATCCAGCTGCAACTCCAGCTCCGCTCCCAGCTTCAGGGCTGAGAGTCCAGTCTGAAGGCAGCTTTCGCTCATCTGGGTGGATTTAGGGGGCAAACGAGAGGAAAAGGGGCATCAAGTGAGGCAGAGGGTGTGTGTCGGGTGTCCTGCTGTTTGGTGCTGGGGGATTGTGGGGCTCAGGAGTGATGGGAAGGCTCTAAGCTTTGGGTGGAAGGACGCTTTTTAGGGGAACTGATTTACACTTGGGTTTTGTAGCTCCAAATCCCACCCAGATGAGGGGCAGGACCCCTCCTTGCAGAGCAGGGGTGTTGTCTGTGTCCCCAACCACCAAGGCGCCCTATCAGGGCTGTGCTGGGGCTTAGATCCCTGTGTGTCCCCCCCACGTGCCCGGCACGGCCGTACCTTGGGGAGCCTGTACTTGTCTCGAAAGTGGGACCTGACTGTGGCCCTCTCTGCCTTGCGCTGGGCAAACTGGGCATCTCTCTCCATCCTGTGAACCACATCAGTCAGTTACCAGCATCTGCTGGCCCCAGCCCCACAGTTTGAGCATCTTCTCCCCTCCTCCCCAACCCGGGTAACCCCCCATCTCCCAGGTCCCCACAATTTCCTCCCCCCCAGCACAGCCTGAAAGGAGAAAACAATCCCATCTCCCGGGCGAGGAAGCGGATTAAGGGATTAGGGGGTTCATTAAACTCCTTCATGGCCCTGCCACCCCCCAGCCTCCCATGCACGGATGGGGGCCCACAGAGGGAGCACCCTGTCCCTCACCGGGACCCTGTGAGTTCATCCCATCCAGGTATCCAGCGCCAGTCGCACTTACTTCTCCTCCACCAGCTGCAGCTGATATTCCTCGTACTCCTCACGAGTCATACCCTGCGCTTCGGCTGGAGACTTCTCGCTCTCGCTCTTCTCCTCGCCACCCAGGCCACCAGTCAGGTTCTTCAGCTGTCCCCCCACCATGCTCTTCACCATGAATGCCATGGTCACGGTTCCAGGGGCCGGGAATCCCGGGCGTTGGGGAGCTGGGGTGCGGAACTCCTACAGAGCTGGGATGCTGGGAGAATTGGGGTTAATGGGGAGAAGGGATTCTGGGGTACCGAGGGAAGATGGGGATGCTGAGTTATGGGAGAGACCAGGGAACTGGGTTAGGAGTGAGCTGGAGTGTTGGGGAACAGAGGTCTACTTGGTGCTGGGGTGCTGGGAGCACGGAGTTCCCGGGGAGCCGGGATGCTGTGGAGG